AATGAAAGTGACTTTGACGTACTTTCAAGGTCACAGAGGTCAACAACATTTTAATGGATTTGTTCTTAAGAACTAAAAGGAATGGATTCATAAGATGTGGCTGGTAGCTTTTGGAATAGAGCTTACCAATTTGAGAAGGAAAATGACATTGACCTACTTACAAGGTCACAGGGAAAAATATGTCAAGCAACTTCTGAAGAATCAAAAAGCATAGAATCTTGTAATAATATCTTGCTGGTAGTTTCAACAGATGGAGCCAACAAAGTTTGTGAGGGAAATATTTTTAGTGAAAATATTTTGCTATGACTGCTTAAATATTCAGGTGAGCGATACAGGCCCTCTTGGGCCTCTTGTTCATACGCCTCTTCCTGACAATTCTATTCAATTTTTATGTACATTGTACTTTTGAATATAAATTTGATGACAGTATTAACAAAATAAACTAGAACTGACAATCAAAGGCTAGCTAATACCCTCGCTCCTATATAAACCAAAACTGTAAGCTAAAGGCTTACTAAGGCAAAGCATTTCAAAGCAATCCATAGTCTCCCACCAGTAATGATTTCTTTATTGACGGAGCTTCACACTTATTTAAGTAAACAGGTCACTGACATACTTCCTCTACTCTCTACCCATGGCAAAACATACTTACATACCAAATCTTGTTAGTCCAGATGAACCAGTTTTGCTGAAATTGTCCTATTAGTTAACGGAAAAGATGTCAGGAATTTTTTTTTTTAACAAAGGGCCATAATTCCTTAAAAACTGCCGAAATGCAAAAAGATACTAGCCTGATGCACAACATCAGGGGGTAATTACCATATCTGTAAACTTTCATAGAAATTTACCATGTAGTTTTGGAAGAGTTGTCTGGAAAAGGATTTTTCAACAAAGAGCCATAACTGTATAAAAGGGTCAGAATGAAAAAGTAATACTTGGATGGACAACTGCAGATGGTAGTTATCATATCTGGAAACTTTTTTTAAAATCAATCCATAACCTTAAAAGGAGTTGTCCGGACAAAAAGTTTCGGGATTTTTCCACAAAGGGCCATAACTGTATAAAAGAGGCACAGAGGACCTGTATCGCTCACCTTGATATCTAAGCAATCATGGCAAAATATTCTCCAAATGATATCCAAGGGAATATGCCAGACCCCAAGGCCAATTCTTGTAGCATATCTGTATTAGAGTTTTCATGACCAGCAATTTTATGTATGGTTATTGGGTGGGGATCTCAACCGTTTCCATATTGTGACTCAGAACCTAGGTCCCTAGGGTTGTGGCCAGACCCCAGGATCAATTCTAATATCATGACTGCATTTGTCTCTTTTTGCCCAGCATTTGTATTTACAGTTTTGGGATGGGGATCTCAACTGTTTCAAAGTTATGGCCCAGTGGGTTAAGTCTGCAAGAGTGGGGCAGACCCTGGAGTCAATTCTTGAAACAAGACTGCATTTGTCTCTTTATGCCCAACAATTGTATATATAGTTTTGGGGTGGGGATTTCGAAGTTATGACCTAGGTTTTAGCTCACCTTGGTCCTTAGGACCCGGTGAGCTAAAAAAGGGTCAGAATGAAAAAAAATATACCTGGATGCACACCTTCAGGTGGTAGTTAATATATCTGGAAAGTTTCGTTGAAATTTCACACGTAATTTTGGAGGAATTGTCCGGACAAGGATTTGTCAACAAAGAACCATAACTTTGTGAAAAAGGGTCAGAATGAAAAAGTAATACTTGGATGGACAACTGCAGGTGGTAGTTATCATATTTGGAAACATTTGTTGAAATCAATCCATTACTTTAGAAGGAGTTGTCCGGACAAAAAGTTTCAGGATTTTTCAACAAAGGGTCATAACTGTATAAAAGGGTCAGAATGAAAAAATAGTACCTGGATACACACCTTCAGTTACTATATCTGGAAAGTTTCGTTGTAATTGGTCCATTACTTTACAAGGAGTTGTCCAGACAAATTCTTTCTACAAACGGACAGACAGACAGATAAGCTGATTCCAGTATACCCTACTAACTTCTTTGCGGGTGGTATAACAAAGACAGACATAAATTTAAACCTGTCTGACTATTGTCTAAAGTACACATTTTCCAACTATTAAATCCATGTATTTATTTCGATTTTTGTTGCAGTAAAAGAAAATATTATTTGTTGTGTTTTAGTAAGCTTGTAAAATTTGTAAATTTTATTTTTAAAAAAATCAAGAATTTCTATGCATGAAGAGAATTTTTTACCATACTGACCCCTTTATTCCCCCACCCCTTGAAACCAGATCCTTGCATTGAAACTTGTTAGTGGTTTTGAGAAGAAGTCCAAAATGTGAACTGTTTACTGATAGACGACGCATGATGAAGCACAAAAGGCAGTCATAATAAGTCAAATGAGACATTATTTGGGTGACATAATAAAACATGTGTCACTAAAGGCCAAGAGGAACTTACATATCAAATAGCGATAACAAGAATTATTTAAGGGTTCTTGGTTCGGTTTGTGTTTAACATCCTTTTTACAGCTATGGTCATTTAAGGACATGCCAGGTTTTGGTGGTGGAGGAAACCCGGAGCCAGTACCTGGGATGGAATCTGCGATCAATGGTGAAGGGCTAGGGGTAGCAGAATGTCAGATGCCTTAACCACTTGGTCACGGCCCCTTCTTTAAGGGGAAATGGTCAACAATCGACGGAGGGACTGGACAAAAGAAAGACTATTAGAACAGCTAATCAGATTTCATTGGACCAAAAAGGACAAAAGAACCTTGAATCTTGAAATTTCATCTCTCCAAGAGGACAAAGAGTCTCATTTATAAATTTCTTGGCTTTCTGTTCTAATTGTTCTCACAGCTTCAGTCCCCAAAACAAACTCTGTATATAGGGTAACTTGTGAGAAGGTCAATCTTAAATACAGCCTCGTATCCAAAACACATAATGTAGATCTTTTAATGTTCAATTCTATTCAAATATTGTTTTCCATTTTCATTTTAGAATATCCTTTATTCTTTTGATTTCCTGTTGTACAATTTTTTTGCTGCTTCTTTCACCACTTCAGCATCAGTTCCTGTCACAAGAATACAGTTGGCTTCTTAATGTTTCGAAGGGACAAGCAATTCAAAATCCAGCTCTGTCTCTGAAGCGAGTCTTTTAATATTCTCCCCATCTTTTCCAAGGATCATGCCACAAATCCTGCTACAAGTCTCCTCATTTTGCATCACTTTTTCAGAAAAAGGAAGCACATTTTCATTCTTAATTTTTTGGACTTCTTGTTGAAGAAAAGGGTAGTGCAACTTAATTCTGAAATCTTCGGACCATGTGTTGTATTTTTTCTACTGCTCTATTAACCACTTCAGCATCAGTCCCCGAGATGATTATATAGCCTTTATGCGTTTGCAAATGAAAATCAAGTCCTGTCTCCAATTGCATTCTGTTTAAGTTCTCTCCTCTTTTTCCCAGGATCTTGCCACAAATTCTGCGATGAATCTCCTCATCCGCGTCTGTCAACACCTTTTCTGAGAAGGGTAGAAAACTTTCATCCTTTATTCTGTGGATTTCCTGTTTCACTTTTTCTACTGCTCTATTAACCACTTCAGCATTAGTCCCCGAGATGATTATATGCCCTTTATGCGTTGTTTGCAAATGAAAATCAAGTCCTGTCTCCAAGCGCATTTTGTTCAAGTTCTCTCCTCTTTTTCCCATGATCTTGCCACAAATTCTGTTATGAATCTCCTCATCCTCGTCTGTCAACACCTTTTCTGAGAAAGGTAGAAAACTTCCATCCTTTATTCTGTCGATTTCCTGTTGAACTTTTTCTACTGCTTTATTCACTACTTCAGCTTCTCTTCCAGAGATTAGTATATGCCCTTCATATGCTTCAAAAAGAAAATTGAGCCCTGTCTCAGAGCGTATTCTGTTCAAGTTCTCTCCTCTATTTCCCATGATCTTGCCACAAATTCTGTTATGAATCTCCTCATCCTCGTCTGTCAATAGCTTTCCTGAAAAGGGTAGCAAAATTTGTTCCTTTATTCTGTGGATTTCCTGTTGTACTTTTTCTGCTACTCTGTTCACCATTTCAACATCAGTCCCCAAGACATTTATATGGTTAATTTTTTCATTTTTTGCTAGGATGTTCAATTTAGCATTCAGTTCTGTCGCTGATAATATTCTACGAATGTTCTCTCCCTGTTTTCCAATGAGTAGTCCAGATATCTTGAAATGATTATCATCAACTTCATCTGTCAACACCTTTTCAGAAATTGTTGCTAGATTTCCATTCTTAATTATTTGAATTTCCTGTTGTACTATTTCTGCTGCTCTTTTCACCACCTCAGCATCAGCTCCTGTCACAATTACATAACCATTTGTTCTTGATTCGAAAGGGACCTCCAAATCGAAATCCATGCCCGTCTCTGATATCAGTCTTTTAATATTGGCTCCTTTTTTTCCAACAATCATTCTACAAATCTGGCGATGACTCACCTCATTCTCATCTGTCAATACCTTTTCAGAAAAGGTGGCAAGTACTTCATTCTTGATTCTTTGGACTTCCTGTTGAATTTTTTCTGACGCTTTCCTCACCACTTCGGTATCAGTGCCCATGACAACTACTCGCCCAGTGTCACAAGAGTTTAGCGAAAAAACATCTCCAATCTCAAAAATAAGACTACCGATCTTGCTGCCTCCTTTTCCAATAATGATACTACAAATCTCTTTATGAAAATACTCATCCTCGTCTGTCAACACCGTTTCTTGAATGGGTAATATACTGTTCTTGATTTTTTGGACTTCTGTTGTTACTCTGTCCACTGTTTTCTGCACACCCTCAACATCCTTGCCAGATACCCATATATCAGCACCAATCAAATCAATTTGACAGTCCAGGCCGAATTTTCTTATGTTGCGTCCACCCTTGCCAATAAAAGCAGCTGCAATTTGTTTTTGTAACTCTGAATCCTCATGGGTGGCCACCTACAAGACACAAGATACAACAATGTTAACTATACCGTCAATTGAATTGATGACAAGTATTGTACATCAAATCATTAAAGTTAACATAAACACTTATGAGAAACAAGATATATGGGTAAGGGTGGGAGATGGGGGGGACCGAGGGGTAATGATATTCAGAATTTATGATATATTTCAATTATGTCGGCCCTATCTTAGGTATAGATTTTGATCCAAGTTTTATCAAAATCTGACAGTTTCTTGATAGAGGTCTAAAATATGTTTGTTCCAGGTTTTGCACTATGTGACCCCATAATAGCCCCACTGGGAGATCAGCCCCCTTTTGAGTGTAAATTCTGATCGCCATCATCTTAGCATCATTTTCTGAAATGTTAGTGAAAATCAATCCATAAGTTCCTTCGGAGAAGCCTTTGGAAGATTTTGAATTCAAACTTTTTGACATCTTATGGCCCTGTCTCTCAGCTCCCTTGGGGGTCGGCCTATTTTTCATGTCAGATAATAGTGAAAAAAGTCTAGCTAGGGCCCAGTACTAATCAATCTTACATTCTTAACGGCTGTCAACATAGGAAAGGTCATTAGGGCCAATAAATGATTGATAAAAAGATATCCCAGAGGGATCTAAACTTCATACTGCTGTGTATAAAAAGACAACCTTCAAAGTGTGTTTGTCATTTCACATATTTACAAGTAGGGTACCTAATGTGAAAGAAATAGAACTGATCATTGCTACATGACAAAGACACATGCATGTAAAGTACTTCCTGGGAAACAGTGATGATATTCTTGAAATGTCCAAATCAAAGATGACCTCCTGTGGCAATCTTGTCCCTTCATAGGAAATTTGAGAAATATCTGTCAAGAGCTTTTTGAGAAATAGTATTAACAAATTTTCTCAAATCCAAGTTGGCTGCCTAGGGGTCATATTGTTTTAAGATGAGTCTCAATATAAAACATGCACAACTAGGGACCAAGGGGAACCTTCATATGAAGGGACCAAGGGGAACCTTCATATGAAATTTGATAAAGATCCTTCCAGTGCTTTCTAATTATATAAGAAACAGTGATAACAAATCTTTACCATAAAAATCCAAGTTAGCCGCCTGTCAATGATTTTTTTTATTTCATCATTTTGTAAAATCAAAAAACACACATTTAAGAACAAACGGGAACCTATAATTTATATACCAAATTTGAGAAATTTCCCTCCAGTACTTACTGAGGAATAGCAATAATAAACCTTCAAAATCCAAGATGGCTGCTGGTATTAAGCCATTTTATTTCACCAATCTAAAGATCAAGGGGAACCTACATATCAAATTTGAGAAAGCTCCCTCCAGTGCTTCTTGAGAAATAGAGATAACAAACCTTAACTGTCAAAATCCAAAATGTCCGTCTGTCAGCCATTTTGTTCATCCTATCACACTCAATATTAAACATGAATAACCAAAGATCAAGGGGAACCTACATATCAAATTTTAGAAAGATCCCTTTGGTACTTCCCGAGAAAATAGCAATAACAAACTTTCACTATCAAAATCAAAGATGGCTGCCTGAAGGCCATGTTGTTTATCCGATCAGTCTCAAAATTGCAGTGCACAGCTTGGGACCAAGGGAAACCCACATATAAAATTTTAGAAAGATCCCTTTGGTACTTCACGAGAAATAGCGATAACAAACTTTCACTATCAAAATGGCTGCGTATCGGCCATGTTGTTTATCCGATCAGTCTCAAAAGTTGCCCTGCACAGCTATGGACTAAGGGGAACTTACATATAATATTTGAGAAAGATCCCTCTGGTACTTCTTGAGGAATAGCGATAACAATTTTTCACTATCAAAGTCCAAGATGGCTGCCTATCGGCCATCTTGTTTATCCAATCAGTCTCAAAAGTTGCCCTGCACAGCTAAGGACTAAGGGGGACCTTCATCTAAAATTTGAGAAAGATCCCACAGGTACTACTTGAGAAATACTGATAACAATAATTGTTTAAGGACGGACCACGGACGCAGGGTGATTAATTGAATTAAGCCCACCATCATCTGATGGTGGGATAAAAATGTAAGACATCAGAATTGATAACTTTTTTTTAACAAATGTACTTCATTGTGTTATATATTGGATTTAGTTGAAAGAATAATGCCCTTTTTTACTACAAGTGTTTAAAAAATACTTTTTTGTTTTTATTTCACTTTATTTCCCATCTCAGTTATAAAATTGTTACTGCAAATGGGTAACTGTTACCCAAATGCAGGATTATTACCCATATGCACCGTTTACTCCTATAACATAAAAGTTTCTCGACATGTAAAACCTCTAACATTGTTGGAGTAATGCGCCGTAGTGCCAACCTGATAAACATGCATTAAAACTTTTGCATAGGAAAGGCGACAACCATTTCTGACCAAATTTCTGCATTTCATTAGCAATATACCATCTAAACCAGAGGATTTATTCATTTTAAGTTTGTTTATTGTATAGCATAATAAATTTACTGAGAAGAAATAGATTTGTCAAGTTCATTGAAGCACTGGTAACCTTTCACTTTCAGGCTTAACTTTACGCTAACGTTACTTAGTTGCGATAACGTAACGTTTAAAAGTGCAGCCAAATTCGCAACCCTGTGACGAAAATGCCATATGACGTCATAATACATAAGATGTGACGTAAATAACGTCACCATAGTTTTCAACACAGTTAAAGCCTTCAAATATTTGGACAAGAGGAGGTATAAGAAGGGAAAAGTTATTTTATTAATCAAAACAGTTCTGAAATATCTTGTTACACAACAAATCTTACATGTTGGTTGTGATTTAGTATAAATGCATCACATACAAATTGAAAATACCCATATCTTAATGCTAATTGCAGTTTCATTGTCGAGTGAGCCGTCAATGCAAGTAAATTATTTTTCTACAAGTGTACTTTGGTATATTACCATGCATACTGACGACCCAATGCTTATGGAAATGACGCTCGGGAAGATTTGATAATTCATTTTTCATTTTCTTGCAATATGTAGATTTATTTAGAAAACAATCAACCAGTATATTTTAAAACTATCGTTTGCGTCTAACATTAAGCCATCTTACAACACTTGCTAGATTTATATTTGAAAAGAATTTACATACGTCAAGAGACCGACAGTTACCAAAGACTGATTTTTACATGAAAAAGTAGACGGAAAAAAAATTGGCTCCGATTTGGAAGTTTATATTTGGTAAGGACTGAGCCTTTATTGTGATGCATGTAAATTGACCTCACTTCAGCCGGTCCCAGCCATCTTGCTCAAACAGCATTAATCAGTTTCTTCTAGTAACCCGAAAATTAACTATCACAACTAAGAAAATCCCTTTATTTCAATGTTTAACATTGTTACACGCACTTATTTGGAGCTGTTCGTATCAGTACAACTTGTGTAACATAAATATATAAAATGTTACATTTAACCTTACAGTACTTGCAAATATAAGTGAAATGTTTGAATGTGGCGTAATTGCCTGCACCTTTGATCAAAACCACGGAAGATCTGATGACGTCACAAATGTTGCTGCGTGACGTCATTCAGGCGTGTTTACAACAATGTTTGTGCTCATTGGCATTTTGATACATGTGTATTTGGACGAATTTGTCTACACTTACGTTAGCTTCATGACGACAAGACAACTTTTATATAAGCTTAGAACCATCGCCGGGCGCTGGAGGCTGGATATTAAGACTAATATCGATATCCGGCTTTTTCGCCCGGCCAAAATATAACACTGACCTTCATTCTGTACAGTTGGTCCTGATCGTTTCCGTAGTTTGTAAACGAGCATGACCTAAGGTCAAGGCTTGGGAGACCGCGTGATAACCACACGTTTTGGATACATTTCACATTTCTAAAAACACCGAAGTGTGTCACTTGATGCTTATACGAAATTAATCGGCAAACACATGCTTTCACAAATGCCACCATTTTGAAAACGCTACAATATGGGATACTAATCAGTGCCGAGTGACGGAATGTCGACGGTTCCCGATTGGAAAGGCAGTTACCCTAATTACTTCAAAGGGAAGGATTCTTTTATCAGGGAGTGTCCGGAGATGTTTCCGCGCGCCAAGGAATTCGTTATTAGACTTCTTCCGAATCATAAATACTAGCCCGAGTTTCTTCTTGAGGAAACTCGGGCAACATAAATACGTATTCTTGAATTGTGATACTAAATGCTAAATTATATTACGTATTATCATGGAATTAGATTATTATTAGATTGTTATCCAAGTCCGTGGTATATATACATCTCTGCTTTGAAGAATTTGAAAATAAGTTTCTTCTCTCATAATTTTAAGAATTAAGTGATAATATTGTAATTTTTACACGTTAGATGTCTGTTGGCATAACTATATAGTATACAATGTTATTGTAAAATATATTATCATATACATTACCACGGACTTAGATAATCTAATTCCGTGACATTACTCATTCATTTTCTCTTGCGTACTTATATATTCCGATACAGCTTTCTTCTATAACACATATATATATAGAATTGTACACATTCCTCTGTATATTATAAATAAAACACATACCTCTGTATATTAATATAGATACTCCTGTATATTATTAATAATACACATTTTAATATATAGCATTTGATATAGCGCCCTATCTAGCTAAAATTACTTCCCCATATCTATATATATACATGACAAAGACAGCAGTTATAGGATTTTGGCCGTTTTAATGATAATAGGCCTACAACAAAATATATGTATACAAAAAGCTCTTTCACCCCGAATCAAACTTTAATTAAGTACATTTGCAAGTCCATTACTCACTGTCATAAATATGACTGGGGTGAAAGGGCTACACAGAAATTCAGGCAACAATCACTTCCGGCACTATGAACATATTAACATGCACTTCCGGCACTAGCAAGCAACATCCACTTCTAGCACTAAAAAGCAACATTCACTTCCGGCACTAAAAAGCAACATTCACTTCCGGAACAATTAAGCATGCAGCATATTATATATACACAATTGGTCAAATTCACATTATAGCCAATTAGTAGCAAGTACTATCAGTATAGTAATATCAGTATAGTTTACCAAATCTTGACAAATAATAATGAGCATATACTGTACATACACAAGCACATCTAGCAACAAATACAAGTGACATGCGATTAATTAGCATAATTTAACATAAATTAAACCGCTGTGAGAACACTTAATTAAAATTGATATTATTGGGTGGATTGGGTGAGTTTTTGAAGACAAATAAAAAGTGATCCTGTCACCTCAGGATCTTAAAAGAGATTGAAGAAATTTTGAAGGGGCGCTAACTCGAAACCCCCCGATAAGACTGACCAATGGGAGCCATATGCAGATGAGAGAGGTGACCCCCACGGACTGGTCAAGCTCGGACCAGTGAGCAGAAATTCTGAGTCTGTGAACAGATTTCACTCATGTGTTACACTGTCCTATAATTTATCAACACAAATTATGAAATATATATACGGAGTTTAATTAACCATTTTGGAACAAAATAAACACATTGTATGGTATCATTTAAAGTGCTACCTGTGCCACCAAAAATGCTACAGCACAGATACTGCAACATCCATCCCAGACCAATATATACTCCACCAGGGTTGTTGGAGTCGTGTGGGCAGGAGAAAAACACTTTCTATGAATATCAGTGCGTACGACGACTTCGGGGATCGAACCCAGGCCGCCTGCGTGTAAGGCACAAACTTCTCCTGAGTGTAAATTAACCACTCGACCAATCCGCCCATTATATCTCTGCATATTATAACTATCCTAAATATCTTCCCTATCACTTTCCTTTATCCAGCTATTGAACTTTTTTGGGTAACCGAGACACTTAAACTTCCGATATACCATTTCTCTAACGACGTTTTCAACACCTTTTCAACTTTGAAAATAGCATCAATAGTGAAGCGATAACTCCTTACCTATTACACACGCATTCAGTGAGGAACAAAAAAGCGCGATACATTTTCACTTTTCCTCGGATAAACAACGGATAAACGCTTAGCTCTGAGAATGTCCTGCAGGTACATATGTATTATGTATATTCCTACGAATCCGAAATAAGCCTGGAAAATCTACTTATCAACGTGGAATGAGGAATATAAGATATTGATTAGATGGGAATACCGAATTGATAACAACACGAAGTCAACTTATATATGAAGTGTTTTGTAAGTAAAGGTACCGTTAGAAAAAAACGTATCCCCAAAATAAAGACTTTCTTCCTTTCATTCGACAGCTTAGTACATATATGCTGCTTGTTTCAATTCCTTGTTTGTTCTGACGTCATCTCTCTTTTTTGGAAAAGAGCGAGATTCTTTAAACTTGCCTAATTATATATAAGTGTACATGAAATAGATGAGCTTACATGATATTAAATGACGAGATGTTCGATGTACAGTATACCTAATATTGTTTGATTTATCTATCAATTTTTTCATTCATTCACTTTTGAAATACGCAGAAGAAGTCTTCAAATTTATCTTCACATATTCAATTAGACTGAAAAAAAGATTGTTGCTCGATTACGTGGTATGTAAGAACATACACAACTGGAACGCAAACGCGTGCAGCATGCAGGCACAATGGCGCGCAAATACAATGCTTGTAACAGTACCTGTTTTTTTATTTTTTATTTTCGAATCAGAAGAACTGATTTTGTTTGAATTCCACTGGAGATATTCGAAACATAGAGAAAAAAACACCACAATTTGCGCGCGATAAAACGTATATATAGATAATATGTAAGTCATATCTAACACAAGACATAGTCGACAATAATGGCAAGATTTCAATGAGCAAGGTAACTTAAGTAACAAAGAACACGAACTTTTTACGCAACACGAGCCTTCTAAAGCAGAAGTGAAATCAGTTGCTCTGGAAGGGTACATACATGTCATTTTTCTATCATAAATTATAACAATATCTAATTGTAACAGGGACCATTACTTAAGCCGCCCAAACTAGCCCTGTAGTCGCAAATGATGCTGCAACAATTATCACAATGCCATAACACATCTGCATACAGAATCTGAACAAATTTGGTCAATATCTAAATGTCAACCAATCAGCACCCGACCGTGTTTTTAGTTTCATTGCTAATTTTAATACAGAACTTAAGGGATATAGGACACTGCATAATTGAGACTTTTCCAAAGCTAGGATGCAACAGCCATTTTGCGGTAGATGTTGACTTTGTTTTTGCCATCTTCAAGAACACCATCAAAATATTAATATTATCAACCTTTATTATTCTTTTATATTATTCCCAACAAGTGATTGGCCAGGATTGCATCACGTGTTTACCGATAAAAACCGATATTGACTTGGAGCACGTGATTTTAGTTGAAGAACAACGCCGTCCCGCTTCCGAAGTTTTTTTGTTGTATTTTTTTTCAGATTGCTTACATCACTGTCTTGAAAATAATAAAACAATTGTAACCTTTAACTCCAGGTATCGACCTCAGCCAAAGGCTATGATTGAACAATATTGCAGTTCATAAAACTGAACAGAAATTTGTAAAGCCTATATACAATGTTTATGTCTCAGCAAATGAGAGGCCATGATTTCTGTCTGTTCAGAAAACTTATATCAATGGTGTCTGCGCTAATTTCACTGAAGTTGGATGGGAAGGGGGGTCTCTGAGTTCCAACATATTTACCAACAACAGGCAGGTGTTGTTTTATGAAACAATGGCAGGTTAATTATATACTGTTTCATATTCACCTGAGATTTACCCGTGTTTCATACTACACACTTTCTTAGATAATGTTTGCTTTGATATTTTTGGTCAAATCATAAAATGTAACATCGTCAGAACACTGAAAAGTGTCTCCATATATTTTGAAAAACAAATTAGAATAAATGAAACGTTTGAAATAACCGTGAAATATTCCTTCATCCGTGATAAATATATAATCCCTGACCTTCCCTTTATCATCTGATTTTGCTTTCAAAGTAAGGATTAAAAGTATTAAACTCTGAATATTCCTTTTAAAAAACTAAGAAAAAACTATGTCATGAGGGAACATACATGTATGAAGGAGGCTGAAATGTTTAAACACTTGTTAAGCACAAATGAACGATTTTTTTGGAAAGTTAAAAGCTTGAACATTAATTTAAAAAGGAAAACCGAAAATATAAAAAAAATACTTGAAATTAAAGAAAACATATCAAATGTCATGAAAGGAAACTATAATAAAAGATCTTTTTTTTCAAATAAAAGACAAGGAAAAGCTATTGGTTTTTGTGCTATTGAGATTCTGATCTAATTCAAGATGGAGAAGGCGGAAGAGGCATCTGCACAGATTGAACCATATGAGAGTTAAATAGATAAGCCTCCAGTCCAAATACATACATTTATAAATCCTTTTTATTTCTGTAATTGTTACGTCGTCTGTATTACCGTGTTTAAATTTAACTTTGATAGTTTTTATTTGATATAATGTATACGTTAAAGCCAAACGTCTGTCACTATTGTTCGATTTTGAGTAGCTCAGATGATACATTTTTACATGCTTTATTGCATAACGACTGGACTGCCAGATATATATACATTCGTGTTTCACTATAATCTGCATACTGTGACGTTTTATTATTTTCTTGCAATATAAGAGTTTGTGTTTGTTCGATACTTTGTTTTCATATATTTATTAAAGTTTTATGCCGTATTAACAGCTGATGACATTTACAGATAATGTTTTGCAAGACGTAAGAGTTTAATATGTGTTCGATGGCAGACTTGGAAAAGGAAGGAGAAAAAACAAAGATGCGTGGTTTCTAGATTCACAAGAAAACAACTTATTTCAAGATTTGTCGGACCATTTTAGCCATTTTGCACCAACTGTTTTGGATTTTAAAGAATTATAAAATGGCCAAGATAATAATGTAAAGTTGATGTATGAGCACTCATTCCCATAGTTCTTTGAC